TCATTAAAAACATCTTCATTAGCATTCAAATAGTTTTAAACCAATGTTGCATGTGATGGGAAATTTAAGGAAATAAATTGTCTTTAAATACTTCAAGACTTTGAAATAAGTAGAATCAATCACTTCATGTAGTCTTAAGTTGTATAAGGATAGTATCATCTGTCGAAGAATCCTATGTTTGGTTAACTTTATAGCACAGCGATGTATAGATTGCTTTTTCAGAGTAATTAATTAAAAAGCATGAATAAAATCTTATAACTGGAAAACGGTAAGACAAAGAAATGTAAATTAAAGGTATTATGTAAGTAAACAGATCTAAAAATCAGTGACTATAAATGACATCCATCACTCACCCAACATGTAACACTTGAAAATGTGACTGTATTCTGCCTTAGGATCAAGGACTCCCAAGGTTAGTGGGAAGAGGGTGTTCTTCCTTTTGTGTTGTGCTCTCACCCCTTAAAACACACATACCTACACACACACACACACACACACACACACACACGCACACACACACACGCACACGCACACACTGGGGAGTGTTGAACTCCACAGGCCCACATGGATGAAGTAGAGAGAACGGGCACAAACAGTTTCTGGGCTGTCTTCCTCATTCTAACCAGCCAACTAACTAACTGACGTGGAGAGCTTTACCAGGTAAATACAAAGTGCGGTGAAGGGCGTTTAGCATATTGGGCTTTACCGCACGAGTGTCAGATTTGACATTTCAGCCATGTTCTTAAATACCATGTCTCCACATGCCAATCAGAGGACCGTGTGTGTGAATAAATCCCGTACCGGTATGAGCAGCAGTTGCCTGAAAATGAATCTGTTTATTGACATGGCTGGAAGTATTTCTTTTAAGTGTATAGAAAGAAGCTTTAAATGTTTTCCTGCTTATACTTTTTTTCCCCCTCTTAGTGTCTCTCTTGGGAAAATGTTGGCTTTCATGATGAAAAGGCTTTGGGGAAACTTTGCTGCCTTCTCCCACCCGCCAGGCCCAAGCTGGAGGAAGCCACTGGCTGGTTTGGTGGCGCCCTCTGCAGCGTCAGGTGGCGGAGTCACCTCCGACCTCCGCTGACAGCAGAGGCAGGACAGGCTGCTAGGAGAGACGGTGTCCACAGTCTGCTGAGCGAAGCACCCCGTCCCTCCCTGCAGGCTTTCTATTGTAAGTTGCTTTTTTAATAAAAGATGTAGACACAGATTGCTTCTCCAAGAAAGCGGGGAGGGTGGAATATGCACCCAGGAGACGGGCAGGAAGTGAGGGTAGGTAACAGGAGCCCTCCCGAAGCCAAAGGAACTCCCCTCGGCAGACTTGGCTCTCTGGCTCTCCTTATCACACACCCAGACGCTCCCAAGTGGCCCCCGCTGCCTTTTGAGGTTCATCAGCACGCCTCACCCCCACAGAGGGAAGTCCAGAAATAGCACTGTCTGGCCTAAAAAGAGAAGCGTCTTTCTGGCGTGTGTCCACCACCCACTTGTCATTATTTCTCCCAAGTAACTACCCGCTTCCTTAAGCGGGAAGGGGGTGGGGGGGTACAGCCAGCATCCGATATGTCACAACCTTGTGGCGAGGCGTGCGGATGGCTCGGGTTTTAAGAGACAGCCCTGGCCACTATGGCTCAGTTGGTTAAGGTTGCTGGTTCTATTCCTGGTCACAGCACATGCCCAAGTTGTGGGTTCAGTCCCTGGTTGGGGTGAATGTGGAAAGCAACAGATCGATGTTTCTCTCTCTCCCTCCCTCTCCCTCTCCTTCTCCCTTCCCCTCTCTAAAATCATTAAAAACAATGTTTTTAGCCCTAGCCGGTTTGGCTCAGTGGATAGAGCATTGGCCTGCGGACTAAAGAGTCCCAGGTTTGATTCCAGCCAAGGGCACATGCCCAGGTTTCAGGCTTGATCCCCACAGGGGGAAGTGTGGGGAGGAGGGGGCGCATGCAGGAAGCAGCCAATCAATGATTCTCTCATCATTGATGCTTCTCTCTCTCTCTCTCTCTCTCTCTCTCTCTCTCTCTCTCTCTCTCTCTCTCTCTCCCTCTCTGAAATCAATAAAATATATATTTTTAAAATAAAATAAAAACAATGTTTTGAAAGCAAGAGACAGAGCATATATTCCTTTGACACCCTACTTCTAAGTCCAAAACATTTTAAGATGTCTAAGGGAATCATCACTAATATTCATATATTTATAGTGCTAACCTCCTTAAGGCTCAAGTGACAGGATGTGACAGGGGCAGGTGGGAAGGTGCAGCACTGTGGAGTGGCAGTGGCTCAGGAGACGACAGCCTCCTCCCCAGATCTGCTCCCGGAGAGTCCTCCATGGCCTCTTCTATAAGAGAAAGGAGATACGCTAAGAGCGCTACAGCAAAGCCTGTCTGAGATGCAGGCTGTCGTCACTGTCACAGCTCCCACTGCTTCGACGCTGCGGTCCCAGAGTAGTCAGTCAATCACCATGTTTAGGGAAATTTGTGGAAATAATTAGAGTCCAAGAGAAAGACTGAAGGAACCCATAGAGGAATATATTGGTCAAAAAACTCCCTCTCGGCCCTAACCAGTTTGGCTCAGTGGATAGAGCGTCAGCCTGCAGACTTAAAGGTCCCAGGTTTGATTCTGGTCAAGGGCACATACCGTGGTTGCGGGTACATCCCCAGTAGGAGGTGTGCAGGAGGCAGCTAATAGATCTTTCTAGCTCTCTAACCCTCTCCCTTCCTCTCTGTTAAAAAAAAAAAAAAAAAAAAAAAAAAAAAAAAAAAAAACAATAAAATATATTTTAAAAAAAAATAACTTCCTCTCAGCTTGATTTCAACAGTTAGCATTGAAACAGGCTACCTCCAGATTTTTGATCTTTTGAAAGTTTGAAACATCACCTATTTGTGATGATGCGAGAGTATGTCATAAAGAAATGGGAAAAAAGCAGACACCCTGGGATCAATCTTTCTAGGGTTCCAGCCAAGCTCCATGTAGCTGTGTGACATCAGGTATGTAACTTAATCTTCCTGTGTTTTCAAGTCCTCGTCTGTAAAATGGGGATAATAATGGCTCCTACCTCACAGGACTATTGTGGGGATTAAAATAATAATGTACACAACAAATACAGCAGTGCCTAATCTATACTAAATACTTGCTGATAGCAGCTATTATTATTGTTACTATTTAGCAGGCAGAAGAACATGTATATAGTTGATGCCCTCTGAAGATTCCTTTTAAATGCCACACTTCGGAGAGCCAGTCAGAATCACCGTCAAGCCGGGGCCACTGTGAAGGAAAGCAGGACAGGGCTAGAGGGAAGGGTTATGGAACCCCCAGAGGCCGACCCTGGGGTACACAGGACATAGCACAGAAAAGGATCCGGGGTCCAAGATGTTCACTACGCTCAGAATAATCCAAAGTCACAAAGTCAAAATAGACTTTTCCTATCAGAAAATACCCAATCTACTCATCATTCCAGATTCCAAACCATGTCTGATTTTCGAGTTCTTACAATTCTACCACTGGCACGTGAACCTCCTCCGGTGAGCATGCGGCTGATCTGACAACAATCTACTGTCTGGGAGCTGTTTTGTTCACATTTTTAAACCACCGTGACACATCAGAGTTCACCTTGATCCTTCTCACTGAGCGCTGTCCCACCGAACTTTCCCTACCTCTGCTGATCGACACCGTAGTCAGGAGCCGTATGTGGCTGCTGAAGGGACACCCAATTTTTACTTTATTTCATTGTCATCCATTTAAATGGTCACATGTGGCTAGGGGCTCCCATGTTGGACAGTGCAGGCCAGTCACCTGAGAGTGGCTGTCAGTAAGGCTATATTAAAGGGATCCTAATGAAAGCCTGGCGCTGACAGAAAAAATAAAATGGATATAACCCATCTTTTTCAAACTAATTTCCCCAAATCTTTTCATTGGAATGCTGCGTTATTGCTACTAGTACGGTTGATAGATCAGACGTGTTCAAGACCAGGGACAGGCCTTAACATATTTGCAGTCGAGGTCACAGGGTTTGCTTTCCTGTCCCTTCCCCAGAGGGAAACTCTCTTTCTGACATCTGCAGTGATTCTCAGATACTTGAATGTCATGTTCTGCACTTGGAAGAAATAAGATTGGCTGAAAAGAACCAGATTACTTTTTAAAAGAAAGGATAATATGTAATGGCCCTCAGTACTTAGAGGAGAAATATCGACTTTGGACAGTTTTACAAAAGTATATAAAGTCAAGAGGGGTAAGCCATCAATTATTTTAAGCTGTGTTATAGGCCTTTCTTCAGTAATTTACAGATGTGTGCCACGACAGGTCATCGAAATGATTCAATAAGTAATAATAATAAAATAAAATAAAAACACATTACACAGAGAGAGCAAACCACATTATCTATTTTAAATGAAGGAACTGTACTGAAGCCACTGCTAAAGAAAGCACCATGCCTGGGGTGAAAGTACCACATCCCCCAGCACTTTAAAAACAATACACTTCACTTTCTAAAAGAGGAATGCCACTGTAACATTCGACTGTGTCAAAAATACCACAGTCCCGCTGCCTCCGGGAGATCCCATTCTGGCCACTGTATGCAGGAATCAAAGAATGCCACACACAACACCACCATCTTCCCTAAAGAATCCACAGTTTCTAACACAGTAAGAAGGAACTTCTCCTGATACAAATAACTATTTTCGGGGGTTCCGTCTACAAAAAGTCACATTGGGATTGCACCCGAGAAGCTGTGTTTTACCCAAGGACCAGAGACGTTCATGAGCTGATCCCATCTCAGCCTGCTTCCCAAGGAAAAGATTCTGGTGAGACTCACAGCCGGAAAGCAGCCATCACAGCAAACTTTCAGCTATCGTATACTCCCATCGAATCCTCCCTTATCCCAAACAAAAAGGCTGTCTCTGTGTGTCCTCCAAACAACAAAATGAACTGTTGTGCTTTTTCTGGAGCTACTAATAACACAACATCAAGTGGAAAATGAACACCAGGGAAGCAGCGGTCACCTCCACGCTTACCTCCACCACTGTGGTTCCGGCAGCTTTGCACATGGGTAGGTTGAAATTCCGTGCACTTTTCCTACACCGGAGGGGGGGGGGGGGGCAAGGAAATGGGGAGAGAAGACCAAAAATCAGAAGTGTCTCCTTTAACTTTAATTACAGACTAAAGGAATGTCTATAAACTAAGACCCTGCGAATCTTTTCAGAAAAAGTGTACCATATCTTCTGTTGACAAAGCTCTTTTTTTTTTTGCTTTTTAATTTTCTTTTCAATTATAGTTTACCTTCAATTAAAGTTTTATAATTATTTCCTAAATAAAAACAATATGATACACACTTCACTTCATTCAATTACATAGCTTTTTATAAGGTTGAGGGGCTATTTTTCATATTCAATATGTAGATTTTACACAGGAAAATAAAATGGATATTAATTCATCTATTTAAAACTAATTTCCCTAAATCTTTTAATTGGGATGCTACTTTGTTCCTATAGTTGAAGAGTTCACTAAACTTGCTCTATTAAAATATTAGGGAAAGAAGCAAGTACTTTACAGGACAGAGTACAGTAATTATGTTCTCTATTGAGAAGCTTGCTGCTGAAATTAAGTGAAACATCCATTGGTAACGTGTGAGTCACCTGCAAAGATCATCCTGGAAGGCCAATTTCCAATGAAAGTACAACACCCACATCAGACACGGAGGCATCAAAATGTCACGAAGGTGCCAATTTTGCTGATGGTTTTGCATTCCCAAGTTTCTACATCAGTGTACTTCCTCTAACCATAAAAATGTAAATATGTGTTTGTTTCTGAGAGCATAAGTTGATAGAAAATCTTTGATGAAGCGCACTAAGTCACACTATGGTTACTGGAGCTTTCAAGCCACCGATGCCAATTTCGCTTGGATTCGAGGACAGGTGTAAGGACAGGTGCGTCCTTGTGTGCTCCAATGGCAGTGGCGGGAGGTGGGGGCGTGCCGGGCACCATACTTTAACATCGGCCTAGACAGACCTCTGCACCAGGTGTCCACTGTTCTAAAATCAGTATCTTAAGAATCAAAGTGACTTGAGCGTTGGTGATATGCGCTCTCATTTCACATCAAAGCTTAATGTTTACTTGAGCCACAAGCATAAAGTCTGTCTTAAAATAGCTCTGTGCAGGGATTAGATCCCAGAGCCAGGCAATGGAGCACAGGATAAATTCGTGAAAATATTTTAAGTAATTCATCTCCATTTGCTGCTATACAATTTCATTACTTTTTTTAAAAATAGCAACTGAACTTTGCAAACACTACACCAAAGTGTCAAGTGTGATAGATATGACGCAAAATGTCTTCTATAATGGCCAAAATCAGCTGTAACTCCAAAAACTGATTGGATTCAAGAAATCAAACATAGTATAAATATTATAAGTTCTTAAAAAATGAACAAAAACAATGTAAGAGTGGTCACTGAGACTTGAGCTGTGATAGCACAAAAGCTGCATTTGATAAAGATAAAACATTGCTCACTAAAAGCAGTAAATGACAATAATTATGAGGGGGGGAAATGATTTCTATAACCTAATAAGTGAAAATGTTAATACCAAACATTTTGAAAAATATTTTTAACTTTATGCATATATTTAAAGGTGGTAAAATTTTTTAAAAACCTATATAATCTATAAATCCAAAATATTAAATACTTAGTATTAAGCAAGCCTATAGTAATCTTTTGATAGATAGTAATCAAAAGATCTTCAAATCTATTAAGCGTATCTTTGGCTATGCAGTTAATGAGAAAAGTAATTGAGCACAGTTAAGGTTAGACTTCTAATAGACTGCGGTAGGACCAGAAAAGGACTGACTTAAGTAATTACTAGCAATATATTTCCAGAACATCAAAGTAACTTGGGCATTTAAAGACAGTGCATGTACATAACAATCTATAATAATAAAAGTGTAATATGCTAATTTGACCTGACAGCCTTCTGGACAAAGCCTGGGCTGAGAGGGAAGCCGGTGCCGGCAGCCAGGGGAAGGAAGACCTATTCTTGCACGAATTTCATGCATCAGGCCCCTAGTATCAAAATACAATGTGATTGTGTGCTTTTCTCATGTTTTGTAAGCATGTCAATATTGTAATGGGTCTTGGCAACTAAAACACACAGAGGAAAACGTAATTTGTTTGGGACTAAATTCAAGGGTATATAGGTGCAAATACTCAACAAGCAGATCAATGTGGTCATCCACCAATCAGAACAGACTCCCGCCAGTACTCCATACCAGTGAGACCGCTGTCCATTCACACACCGACACACATACACACATACGTACACGCACATGTGCACTGTGTTTATTTTCAGCCATTTTAAAATACAATTTTAAACACCAAACACATCAAGATATCCATTTTGTAATCATAACTTAGGAAATATTGAAATATTAAGTTTCTGAAATGCACTACATTAATCTTTTTTTTTTTAAGGCCATCATACTACCTGAAAATTATGTTTCCTGCACGGTCTGCCTTCCAGGCTTTCACCAAGGCAAAATCCCCTGTAATGGCTTCCTCTAGAATGAAATGCTGACCGTTGAACTCCCTCACCTGCAGGAGACAAAGCGGGCGCTGTCAGGTATTTGCACAGCTGCTGTTTGGTTGTGATACGAGCTCTGATAAAGGCAGATGAGAGGACACAAGATTAGCTGGGAAAAGTGTCTCAGAAAGAGAAGAATCTAAAAAGAGACCCAAAGGATGAGTGTGGTAGGCAACTGGCGCTGAGTGAAAGTGCTGGAAGGGGGACCTGAGGTAACAGCTCAGTGACAAGTGAGAGCTCGGTCCACCTAAGGAACTGAGTTAAGTCTATGTATGTTAGTGTTCATTTTATTACTTGTGTGCATAGGTTACATAATGAACATGAAAACCTGTCCCTCTTTCCCTGTTCCCCAGGGGGAAAAAACTATACAATGTACTGTTTATATAAGTGAAATGATTTTACCTTACTTGGTTTGGCTCAGTGGATAGAGCGTTGACCTATGGACTAAAGAGTCCCAGGTTCAATTCTGGTCAAGGGTACATGCCTGGGTTGCAGGCTCAATCCCCATTAGGGGGTGTGCAGGAGGCAGCCAATCAGTGATTCTCATCATTGATGTTTCAATCTCTCTCTCCCTCTTCCTTCCTTTCTGAAATCAATAAAAATATATTTAAAAAAATAAAAAAATAAATGAAATGTTTTTAAAAGTCCATTCATCTCTCCTAATTAATCTTTATTCACCTATTGAGATTTTAATTGGAATTTCTAGAATCTGTAGAGGAATTTAGAGAGAACTGACACACTACATGGTCCCACCCACAAGCATAATATTTTTGAAGTCTCTTTTACTTCTTTCAATCATTTTGCAATTTTTCACTCCAAAATACTTTGTACTTCATAGTTTCTTGATACTACTATGAATGTGATATTTTATTCATTACACCTTCTCTTCTGGTCTAGTGGAATGCTATTGATTTATGTGTTTACTGCCATTAGTCCTACTATGAATGGAGGGGTCAGGGTGGGGAAAGGAAGAAGCTTAAAGCAAAACTATGCCAGGGACCTGGGAACAACGTGGAAGCTGTGCTCCATCCCTCACTAAGAGGATGGGAGCCATTCACACGCAGCACTTTATTCCCATTCCCACTGCTCCCCCTAGTGGACAAGCAGCATGAGTTTTCTAGAAAGCTTCTGTAGAAAGTTTGGGTACATTAACTTCTTTAACCATACTATGGTTTAAAACTGAAATTCTTTCTTATATCACAGCTTCCCTAAAGACATTATCCCACCTTCCTTCTAGAAAATATTGAATTTATGGAATCAGTTATGAATGAGGATCTTATTTAATAAAAACTTAGGCAAGTTATATAAGAGATTATTTGTAAGCTGCACACATCAATATTTAGGTGTTTTTTTTTTTAAAGGATATTATGTATTTAAGAGTCATTTCTGTGAACATCAATGATAGTGTTTATATATGGAGCATTTTACATACAGACCTAGAAAACTGCATACAGATCTAAATATATACTAACCCAGGGAAAAGTAAATGTTTAAAAAATTGGCTTTTTAAAATTCTAATTATATCATTTCCTGATGGATCTATGTACTAGCTGTTGGTGTGTTTTAGCTATTATTCTAAAATTTTAAAACAGGGAAGGAACTGGTTTTGTCCAACTGGCTACTATACTCATTTCATGGCCTCAACTGCATCTTCCAGTCCTTACTTGAATGCACTCCAGTCAAACTGTCATCGCTCCAGAAAAACCCTCTACTCTGACAGAATTACTCTTTATAAAGTCTCCAACGACCTCTGTGTCCAGATCCAATGTCACTTCCCAATACTCCATTACCCAACCTCAGCACACTCTCTGACACAGTGGGTCACACGCTCCTTTGTAAAATGTCCCGTCTTTCAAATCCCCGGACCCCCGAGGGTTTCCGCTTCCCTCACTAGACCCTTTCCCAATCTTCTTTCCTGCTCCTTCAGGGCCTCTTCCCTACCTTAATATGTGACCTGGGTGTTCTCTCCCTGCCTTTGTATGCGAGCTAGGTGCTCTCTCCCTGCTCTCCAGCCCTAGCCACTCATCTAGTCCCAAATTATTATCACTTATTAATTTATTGTTTGTTTATTAAGTTCTTGAGGGACTAAGAGCCTGTTCCGAGTTCTATGGTTTCCTAATATGTGAGAGAAGTTACCCCCATCCAGCACTAGACACAAAACGAAGTTATTCAGCCTAAAGCTCAAGCGTGTCCAGTATACAAAATGAAGGTGATAATGGGAGTTCCCCTTTCATTCCAGTGCAGAATTCCATATTTTGACATTGAGGGTAAACTTGTGATTTCCTTGGCTTTTTCTTTTCTTTTTTTTTTTTTAAATATATTTTTATTGATTTTTCACAGAGAGGAAGAGAGAGGGATAGAGAGCTAGAAACGTCGATGAGAGAGAATCATCGACCAGCTGCCTCTTGCACACCCCCTACTGGGGATGTGCCCACAACCAAGGTACATGCCCTTGACCGGAATCGAACCTGGGACCTTTCAGTCCGCAGACCGATGCTCTATCCACTGAGCCAAACCAGTGCCAGCTCCTTGGCTTTTTCTCATCCTTCAATTGCAGAAGAGGCCTGAGCATGAAGACTGCAATAGCATTTATATCAGGTAGCTACCCTACTTTCCACATAAGCATAATCAGCAACTACAAAGGCCCCTACATGGGTAAAAATGTAATCTTGCTGCGCACATCTTATACAGTTGCAGCTTTTTCTCCTGTCCTTCATCTGGCTTCTCTGTGCGTTGAATGAAGAGCAGATGCTCAGTTTTAGCTGGAAGTCATACCTAACGTATTTATGCTAATGAATGACAGTGCTTGTTCTCACATAGAGGTGATTTTATATTTATACTGATTTCCCCAATGAGCCACCAGAACCCTGTGCTCACAGTGGGGTCGGGGGTCACCGGGAGGACCGCATCCTACCTCTCGTGGCTTACTGGCAATGGCGACGCTGCCATCCTTGTTGTACTTGATCGGCGCCCCTCCTTCTTGCACCAGCGTCCCATAGCCTGTGCTGGTGTAAAAGGCAGGAACTCCGGCGCCGCCAGCACGAATCCGCTCTGCCAGCGTGCCCTGCCGGGGAGCAAGCAACACCCAAGGTCAGTACGCCACCCTCTGCAGGTGGACACGGAGCATTTAGACATGGTTGCCTACCCTCTAAGCAGTGTTTCCCAAAGTGTGGTACGCGTACCCCCAGGGGTTCGGGAAGAGTTTGGTGGGGGTACGCGTTGCACCAGAGTTTGGTGGGGATATGCTCTGCACCGTGCTTAGCTGTGCCTAATACATCCATTTTTTTTTTTATTATTGATTTTTCACAGAGAGGAAGGAAGAGGGATAGAGAGCCAGAAACATCGATGAGAGAGAAACATCAATCAGCTGCCTCCTGCACACCTCCCACTGGGGATGTGCCCGCAACCAAGGTACATGCCCTTGACTGGAATCGAACCTGGGACCTTTCAGTCCACAGGCCGAAGCTCTATCCACTGAGCCAAACTGGTTTTGGACATCAACTTTTTTTTTTTTTTTTTTTTTTTTTTTTTTTTTGACAAGGGGTACTCAGCGTTACGAAAATTATAGAAGGGGTGCACATATGTCAAAAGTTTGGGAAACACTGCTCTAAAGGATTCCCATTCCAAGTGGTACTTAGCATGGTAAATTGGTGTATTTCACTAACAACGTTATGCTAGGAGATTAATTTAAAACAATTACTGCCTCTCTCAATAACAACCTTTCTATTCTATTTTTTTCTTTTTGTGTGTGTTTTTTTCATTGATTTTTAGAGAGTAAGGAGGGGAGAAGAGAGCAAAACATCGATGTGAGAGCAACATCAATGGGTTGCCTCCTATACACTCCCCAGTTGGGGACTGAACCTGCTACCCAGGCATGTGTCCAATTAGGGAATCAAACTGGCAACCTTTCAGTGCACAGGATAATACCCAACCAACTGAGCCACACCAGCTAGGGCAGCATCTCTATTCTTAATCCACAGCATATTAAATGCTTATTTGCATAATCACGCTTTCGGCTTCCATGTTGCCTGCTGGCTTCTTGACAACATGTCCAACATCAGTCTATTTGTACTCACCTTCTTACCCCTCCCCCACATGTTTTCACTATGCTATTGCCCGTGTCCATGGGCTACTCCTGTAAGTATATAAGTTCTTTGGTTTCTCTCTTCTTATCCCCCCATCCCCACATCGAGGTATGTCAGTGTGTTCCATGCCTCCCTGTTTCAGGTCTTATTCTGTAAACTGGTTTTTAAAAGCCAAGAGTCCTTCAAATTTTGTTTCATAGGAGAAACAACTATAGACAAAGTTTCTTTGTACCTTCCATTGGTCACCTTCATCCCTCTGGTGGGTACCAGTGATGTCAAACCTGATTTCCCAGCTCCCTCCCACCTCCAACTGCCTTCCCACTGAGTATGCCAGAGGGCAATAACCTCCAGCAGCACATTCCAACACCCTCTCCACCCACTGAGGGCTGTGGTTATGGTCCAGCTACATTCTGGTCACGCTGGACAGCTAAATAGCTAATCAGTAGTAAGAATGAGGTTAGGTATTAATGGCAGGGTGTTAATGTTGTCCCAACCTGAAACCAATGTTCTACTTTAACTGGGGCCTAAACTCAAAGAAGGGACTAATGACTAGCATTTGAAACACTGAGGCAATCAAGCACGTATGCTATTCGGCGTATGGGGGGGGGGGGGGGCGCCTTGGGACTTCACTGAAAATATTTACAGATAAGACTCTTTTCTACCCTATCCAAAGGACTGAGATGACTCTACTCTGTGTTCCGGGTAATTTAAGTTACCAACGTGCACAAAAATTCAATCCTCAAGCCAGCCCTAGTTTAGAATGTGTTTTATGTCCACCCACCCTGAATTCTTCGCTCCTTCTATGTCCCACTGGACAAGAGCTTGAAAACAGAAAGTTTCTGCAGGCAGGACTTCTGCAGGAACCACCAAGCCCCATGTCCACCCCAAAGGGAGCCCTGATCCCCAACACTTCATTGACACTCCCTCCTAACTCTCAGGCCACCAAACAAGTTGCCACTACATTGAGGAGGGAGACTCTGACCTCTTCAGCTTAAAGAAAGAATGGAAAATAAATATTAAGGAAACTTCAGACCAAGATGATAGAGTAGGCAAATACCTGTACTCACCGCCTCCCACAACCACATTAAAATTACAACTCAAATAGAACCACCATCATCTAGAACCATCTAGAAAGCTGCCTGAATGGAAGCCCTACAACTAGAAAAGTAAGGAAGAAAGCACTGAGACTGGTAGGAGGTGGGGAAGCATGGAACAGGCTGGTAGGGTACCCGCATGTGCCACTTTTTTAATCGGGAGAGAGATTGTCTCTGTGGAGACCACCAGGAGGAGCAAGGAGTCCCAGCTCCACACTAGACCCCCATCCCAGGGTCCCAGAGCTGGGAAAAAGAAGTCCCTACAAGCAGTAAGAACTACGGGCTGTAAAAACCAGTGTGGATTGGGGCTCAGTACACAAAGGCTGCTGGAGACCTAACTGCTCCTCCTAAAAGGCCAGCACCACAAACTGGAGTCTTGCTTCTTCTGAGTCCCAGTGCCAGGGTGAGGCACTGAGGAACACAGACACATATGAGGAGGAACTGGATTGTCTGGCATTGAGGCAGGAACTCGGGGGGGGGGGGGGGGTGGCTTTTTTCCAGAGAGAAGTGTTAAAGATATCAATGTTTCTCCCTGGTCATAGGGCTGACTGTCAGCTTCTGTTTGTTCCACCTTGTTGATTCCCTGAGACCTCGCCTCATCCAATTTACAACCCCACCCAAGCTGTTGCAGCAGTTGTTGCACTTGAATGATTTGTCTTTGCTCATGCTAAAATCTCTCAAGCAAGCTGCAGCTGGGTCAGAGAGCCCCAAACCTATCAATAAAAGGCCCAAGCCTTGGCACAGTATCAGCCTGCCTTGCTTCACGTCTGGGCCTCATGTGGGCACTTCCAAACCTGATACAAAGAGCAGGTATATGCAGATTTCTCTGTAGCTCCTGCTGAGTGGCTCCAGGAAGTGGCTGACATTACTCCTCCCTGGAGACCCAAGAGCCAGAGCACCCAATGGTCAGTGTCGGACCCTACCAGATTACAATTATACACATCCATAAGCAACATACTCAAGGGGCAGACTCAGTGAGCCCCAAATCCCCCTGAAGCAAGTCCTGCTCCATAAGGGTGTCTCCTGCATAGCAGTTCTCCCACTGAAGTCACAGCTGGTCCTCACAGCCAATTGGCCTGGAGGTCATTCCTCCCAGTGACCCTCTGATAAAATAAGGAGGAATGCAAAAGATATACAAGGCTAATTTTCAATAGCTCCAAAAAAAATGAAGGCTAAGGTATCTCAACCTATAAGGTAAAGATCCATATGAGTTGACCTTTATGACAACCCTCAAACATTTTAGCAAGTCCTTTTGCATACTTCCAGTAAAATTCACATTCTAATGCCAAACTTTTGGAGCGGGTCTTCATCATTCTGTTGCCTAGAGATTTTCATCAGAAATTCCTGCACAGCAACAGAAAATATTCGACTCCAGCAATCAATAGGTGGGACCTACAAAATAGCATTCTCTCTGCCTTACCTGTCTTGCATAAAGACATTTCTAGGAAGAAAAAGATACATTGTAAAACAAGTTAGTATTGTAAAAGAAAAGCAGAGAATCTTCTTACCTGAGGTGTCAGCTCTACCTCTAATTCACCAGATAAATACTGTCGCTCAAATTCTGCATTTTCTCCCACATACGAAGAGATCATGCGCTTTATCTGCTTGCTTCGGAGCAAAAGGCCCAGGCCAAAGTTGTCAACCCTGGAAGGAAAATGCAAGCAGCTTACAACCAAAGGGCCATCTGATCAAACACGAATGTCACTTACATTGAAAAGCATGAAATCGCTTTAATTTAAAGGAATCCTATCTACGAGGCACTGAACCCACCTTCTCTCTCAGCCGCCCACCACCCAAAGAGCCCTGCCAGGTGGCTATTCTTTCCTTATTTTACATTTGAGGAAACTGAAGCCCCAAACAGTTAAGTGATTTTTCCCCCCCAAGAATCTTGGGTAGTGACACCAGCCAGTCCTCAAACCCACATCAATCCTACTGTCCAACCCCACCTCTCCCATTCTTTACATCACTCCAAAGCGATCCTGGTCAGAAGATGAGCAAGAAATGGACTGCCCTATGCTTCAGACCCAGCATAAATGCAATGCCACTATCCCTAACCTGCACTGGCCCCAAAGGAAGGCTCAGATGCAGAAAATCTTTCTGTCCAAGAACAGGGTCAGGAGCATTCTCATATTTCAATATGAGAACTGCAGGCTCTTGAAATATGGACCCAATGATATAACCAACGATGAGTATTTTCCTCGTATCACAGATACAGAGTGAATGATGAAGACCCGCTCCAGAATCCTGGCCCTGGCATGGGGAACAGTGGAAGGGCACAGGTCTGATGATCGGTCATTAGTGGCATCCACTTGTTTGAAAGGAGGTAAGTAGGTAGGTATGGTACCCGTATGACAAACCACTGACATCTTCACTCCATTCTCCATCCTCACATACACAAGTGGCGGTTCTGTTCAGTGACAATCTCCTCCTTTTCAAAATGTATCCCTTCCAAGCTTCTAACCTCCCCGAGGCAGTTCTGACACCTGAATACTTCAAAGTAACCCAGGAGACAGGAAACTGCCAACATTCTTCTAATGTGTGTCATAGTCCCAGCTTTCCAATACAGAATCCAATAACATTCTCCCCCACACCCCTCATTGGTATAACAGCTACATGATTTATTCTCACTTGTTTCAAAAGAAAACCAGAGCCTAAATAACAAGTGTTTTCAAGTGTACTTTGCCATATGGGAAGAATTCCCTTAAGATTAATAATACACTTATCCACTAGAGGGAGCCCAAACACTAAAGAGTAGGTGTCTCTTGGAAAATTAGTTCTTTGGCACACTCTCATACACATAATGCTGTGTTTGGTTGGTTTACTTTTTTAATATACTTTATTGATTTTTACAGAGAGGAAGGGGAAAGGATAGAGAGTTAGAAACATCGATGAGAGAAACATTCATCAGCTGCCTCCTGCATACCCCCCACTGGGGATGTGCCTGCAAACAAGGTACATGTCCTTGAGCGGAATCCAACCTGGGACCCTTGAGTCTGCATGCTAATGCTCTATCCACTGAGCCTAACCGGTCAGGGCTGTTGGTTTATTTTTAAACTACTCATAATTAACACCTAAATAGGCCCTCACTTAACAATTCTGTTCCCTTAAACTCAGCTCCACCTGCAGCTGAGTTTAAGGGAACAGAATTGTTCCCCATCTCACCTAATGGCAGCACCCCATCCTTAGAGATCTTCAGCACAAACTAAGGGGTGATCTTTGACTTCCACACACTTTGGGGACATCCTGACTCTACCTTCAAAATCTATGCAGCATCTGAGCCTGTCTCTCTCCCCGCTCTGTGGCCTACACTATTGCTGCTTCCCTGCACAGGGCAGTGACCTTCCCAGCAGCTACTCCTGGCCCCTAGGATTCTACTCACCGATGACAGCCAAAAAATGCAGGCATAAAATAAAACGTCTAGTCAAGTCATGCTCTGCTCAACCCCTGCAACGGTATTCACTTATTCAGAGAATAAGCAAAGGTCTCTGGGGTGGCCAGTCCCCATGTGATGAGATGCCCGGTCCTGTCTCAACCGCACTCCTCCCAGGTCCTTCCTGCCCTGCCTCTGCTGGCCTCCTTATACTCACATCCCGCCCTAGATCCTTCACGCTGGCCTGTCTGTGTCTCCAAACTGCTCCCCCAGATGGCTGCATGGCTCATACATACTCCCCATTCCCCGACCTTCACAAATCTGGCCAGCTGCCCCTCCATGCATCCTACCTGGATCACCTATCTTATACCAAAACCTGCCCTCCACCTTCATGCTCCCGATCCCCCTGCTCTTGTTCTTTGCAGAGCACTATAACCTTCTCACTCACTGGAAACTTCCTTATTTTTCTTTGTTTACTACTATTGCCTGCCTCTGTCTGTTGGAAGGTCGGGTCCGCAAAGGCAGAGAACTTGTCCTGTTTGGTTCACCCCCAGCACCTGGCTGCATGCACAATACACAGCGGGCACTAGAGCAACAACTGTTAATGGTTGACAAATGAACGGCTTGCTTCACTTCCCCCTCCTCCCTGGCTCCTCTCTAATAAAAACGAGAGTCATCAAGTCCTTACACCAGATATTTTCTATTCTGCATCCCTCAGCCGCACATCCATCGAGCCTGCCCTGACCGGGGCTGGCTGACCTGTGGGGACTGAATCCTGGGCCCTGCCCTCTGGCTTCCGGTTGGGGTCAGCCACTGCTGATGGGGTCCAGGCGATGGGAGGCTGACCATCAGGAGGATGGGGTGGGAGAAGAAGGATGTCAGGTACTGTATTCCCCTAGCTCACACCCTGGTGAAGCTGCAGAACCCTGGATAGCCCTTTCCCTAGAGCTTTGTTCCACGTCTAACAGCTCCCTCCCTTCCTCCAACCAGACACAAGGCTGCTGAGCTCTGCTGCTTACCCAGGCTGCTGGGACCCAGGCTGCTGGTATCCAGGCTACCAGTACTTGGGCTGCTTTCCAAGTCCTGACCATTCCCCTAAACACAGTCCCTTTGGGAAGTTTTCCTCAGTTACCCATTATGAGAGCCCCACTGATACCCTCTGGAGCCCTGTCTAAATTACATCATAAGATAAAATAACCCACTTGCTTCCTGTAGCATTAAATACCTGAACTCTTTCCCAGCGCACAACTCCACACCTTAAACCAGAATACACTGAGTCATTCATTGACCTGGGGATTTTCCTAACCACTTCTCCATGAGTCTCTGTTTGGCTTTTCAATGCATTACACACTTGAACTTGGCCCCATGTGGAGATGACCTCTCCGTATTTGTTGACTCTGGCTCTGGAAACCATGTGTATTTATTGGATTGGTTTTTTGTTTTTTGTTTTCTTTTTTTCTTTACTTTGTTTCTGGATTAGGACCTAGCATAGCAACTAAGCAGGTCACAAGATACTCAGCCAGGCGACTACCCGCCTGGCGCAGTTGGAGTGCATGCCTCCAAACCTGCTGCTAGGCAGCCAAGAAAAGTATCTTTCTTGCCTATGATACAAAGCAAAAAAGTCAAGACTCTTCCTCCTCACAATATAAAAGAGGAGACATCCGTGATCTTTTGCAAATGAGGAACATACTACTTTGCCTAGAGAAACATGCATTAAAGCATTTTGCAGCTTGGTAGTAACAATAATTCTGGTGAACTGTCAGAGTGGCTCTTGCTTGCCCTTAGCAACCAGCAGCATACCTTCCCAGAGGGAATGAACCTTTTCTCTCCAGCACAGCACATTCAAGTCCCAGCATGTGAGTGATTAAAGGAATCCAAATCCAAGAATGAATTAAAGGGATACATTCATGTTCTGCAAACATTTATGAAACTGGTTTTCCTTTTCTGAAATCTCATTGAACTGGCTCTTCTGGTCAAAATGAAACTCTAATAAGAAAGACATTGCAATCATTTACCAAACTACTCCTAGTTCACTCTAATTTTCGACATCCTTAAGTCTCATTACACAAGTTATTCTTGCTCTGATCATCCCAAGAGTATTAAAGGAAAAGAAAGTGCTGTCTTCAGACAGAAGGTTGATTGATGACATAGTTATATGAGAAACATAAAATCTTCTGTGAGCAAAGCACACAAGTTCAAGGGCATACCCCAGGGGAATGCTTCCAATGAGCCAGTGGAATCTAGACCTCTCTTCAGCCCCCCAAAGACACAGCTGACTCAACAAAGAAGATCCGGGAAAGCAAAGGAGCCACTGTTGGTCTCCTGGTTCAAAGTCAGCAGTGAGGAGCCAGCCATCTTATCTGCAGAGGCCCTCACAGAATGCCCGCCCTGGCCAGAACAGTGCTGTACCCAGGTGACAGCACTGTCCTCCCAGCACGGGCATAGCTATCACCAGGCAGTGTTTGTTTGTCTCCCACGTGGAAGTGGGGCTGGTCTGGGAGTTGTCTAACGCCCACCCCCCCTCTCAAAAACAATAATCATCCCTAACGAGTTTGGCTCAGTGGATAGAGTGTCAGCCTGCGGACTGAAAGATCCCAGGTTCGCTTCCAGTCAAGGGCATGTACCTTGGTTGCGGGCACATCCCCAGTAGGTGTGCAAGAGGCAGCTGATTGATATTTTTCTCTCATCGATGTTTCTAGCTCTCTATCCTTCTCTCTTCCTCTCTGTAAAAAAAATCAATAAAATGTATTATTTAAAAAAAAAAAAAAAAAAAAGAACGGCCGGGACCGGTTTGGTTCAGTGGATAGAGCGTCGGCCTGCAGACTGAAAGGTCCCAGGTTCGATTCCGGTCAAGGGCATGGACCTTGGTTGTGGGCACATCCCCAGTGGGGGGTGTGCAAGAGGCAGCTGATCGATGATTCTCTCTCGTCGATGTTTCTAACTTTCTGTCCCTCTCAATTCCTCTCTGTGTAAAATCAATAAAATATATATATATTTTTAAAAAGAACAATAATCAAGTAAACAGCCTTGTCATGAAGAAAAGGGCATGACTAATAAGACACATGCATTCTTTCCTTGGCGCTGTGATTTCATTGGTTGTGAAACTTTGGGTTCACAGGGGCCTGCAATGCCTATGTTAAAGTCTTCCAAAAATCAATGGAAGGCACATGGTCAGTCTTTCCAGTCTTCCTAATCAATCCACATCAAACGGATCCCAAAAGAGGGTTTATCTTATCTAGACTAATAGGTAAGTGGTGCCTCAGGGCAACAGGTCTTCCTGATCCTTAAAAACAAACAAATAAAACAAAAATCATCTGGAGGCCTACGCTTTGCAAAGATTTCCAATTTGGGCAGATCTTTCCATAAAAAGAACCTTTTACTAAATGGGAAAATGATGATTACTTCTAATTCCAAGTTCTCTCCATTTACCCAATATTTCAAACAATGTCATTGGCTCTCGTTGGAGCAATGCTAAGCTTTCCTCAGGTATCTGACTCAGGTGGCCCGCACAAAGCCCTCTCGGCTACAGACTAAGGGTTTACACTCCCTAATCAGGAGCATGAGCGCCTGCGAAGTGCCTTCCGTGTTCCACGAAGTAGGTGATCAGTACGTACTGTGTGTGCATCAAGAACTCATTCCTGGCTGGTGTGGGTCAGTGGTGGAGGTCATGTTTAGATACCTAGTCAGGGTATATGCCCATTTTGTGGGCTCGATCCCAGTAGAGGGCGAGCAGGAGGCAGCAGATCAATGATTTTCCCTCATCATTAATGTTTCTATTTTCCCCTTCCTCTGAAATCAATAAAAATATATTTTAAAAGAATTCACATATTACACCAACCTTGTAAGCACTGAGCTGTCTGGAAAACCCACAAAGTACTGGTCACCAAAAGTATGTTTTTGGGAAATACAAAGTCAGCTCAAAGGGCACTGGATGTGCTTAAGAAATATCAATTTACCGGGAATATTACTTTCCTATTTACCGAGGTTTTCCCTCTGTTCATGAGGGAACTGAACAGTTGAGCTCTACAACCCTGCCCCGCTCTGACATTCAATGACTCTGAGCACACAGTAGGGACAGAAAACCGCTATGAGTAACAGGATCAGCCTGCAATGTGTATCAGAGAGGATAAATACAATTGAGGATACAAAGAAAGGCTAAACGTTTCCAAAGGAATTCAGAAAGGGGCAAGAGAAGTTTTATACTTGCATAGGGCTTCTTTGAAGATATGTAACTTAAATCCAATTCTGAAAAATGGATACACAGAGAAAAGGAAGGAGAACCTTCCAGATGAAAATAATGGCATAAAGAAACTCAGCAAGGGGAAAAGGAGCACAAATGTAGGACCAGTTTTGTATCCTAAATAACCTGTGCTATTTGCTCGAAGCTGCCTTTATGATAATAGGCTAAACTGCAAACTTAGTTAATTTAAAAAAATTGTTTAAGATCTTTAGACTTTCATGATGGATGGAGAACTGATAATTTGTCATTTTGTATAAAAATAGCTTTTTTCCTTTATAACTAAATATACCTTAAGGCCGAGACCAGTTTGGCTCAATGGATAGAGCGTTGGCTTGGGGACTGAAGGGTCTCGGGTTCGATTCCGGTCAAGGGCATGTACCTTGGTTGCGGGCATATCCCCAGAAGGGGGTGTGCAAGAGGCAGCTGATCGATGACTCTCTCTCATCGATGTTTCTAACTCTCTATCTCTCTCCCTTCTTCTCTGTACAAAATCAATAAAATATATTAATATATATATATATATATATATATATATATACCTTAAGTGCATATCATTCATTATTAAAATGTTATGGCTTAGGGTGGACAGTTTTGATATGAGATCATACTGTCTTAAGTGCTGGCTGCAAATCCTCCTTCTTCCACCAAGACCAGTGATCTTTTTAATGGTTAATGATATTTATTCCTTACATATCATCTAGAGTAGTGGCATAAGCCAATGGAAAGACTTAAAACAGATTGCAAATTGACATCCACCTTTCCTGATACAACATACAATAACATACAACCTAAAGGGTCATCTCATACAACATAATAACATACAACATAAAGGAATATCCGTAATTTTTAAAATGCAAGAGTCAACTTAAAATATATATATTTCAACTTTACAGTATGTTTGAAATTAAAATAGGAGCACATCAGATTAAGATACAAAAATTATGCAAGTCTCCTTTACTTATGATTAAGAAGTATGGTACTTTACTAGCCAATTTGGCTCAGTGGATAGAGCATTGGCCTTCGGACTGAAGGGTCTCAGGTTCAATTCTTGGCCCTAGTTGAGTACATGCAGGGGGCACTCAATCAATGTGTCTCTTTCACATCAAAGTTTCTCTCTGTCTCTCCCCATCCCTTCCACTCTCTCTAAAAATCAATGGAAAAATATCCTCGGGTGAGGATTGACAACAACAACAAAAAAAGTATGACACCAGAAGTATTTGAATAGATGGAACCATGACTCCTGAGCTTATTAAACGCTATCTTTTTTTTTTTTTTTACTTTATTTATTATTATTATTTTAATCCTCACATGAGGATATTTTTCCGTTGATTTTTGGAGAGAGTAGAGACTCTTTGATTGATAGCCTCCTGCACAAGCTCAATCCCAGGGTCCAGGCTGGGGAGGAGCCTACAGCTGAGGTATGTGCCCTTGATTGGAGTCAAACCTAGGACCTGTCAGTCACAGACCAATACTCTACCCACTGAGCCAAACCAGCTAGGGAAACACTGTCTTTTGATGTGGGAGCCTATTGCTCATTGAAATGGGAAAGCTTTCATTTCACTGACAGACTCTGTGTAATATCATGGAGAACTGTCATTCCCTTCAAATCAGTGGTCTTAAAGGTGCACTCACCCTGCATTGTTGCTGACTGCGGTGAGTCCTTTGACCCCGGTCTTCAGCAAAGCTCCGATGAGGTTCTCTGGAATGCCACACAGCCCGAAACCTGGAAGAAGCCAAAAAGATCAACGTTTGTGAAGGGAGGAAGGTTGTTTCAGAAAAATGTGTGTTATTCTCTTTTAATTAAAAAAGACACTCTCGCCGAAACCAGTTTGGCTCAGCGGTAGAGCGTCGGTCTGTGGACTGAAAAGTCCCAGGTTCAGTTCCGGTCCAGGGCATGTGCGTTGGTTGCGGGCACATCCCCGGTAGGGGGTGTGCAAGAGGCAGCTGGTCGATGTTACTCTCTCATCGACGTTTCTAGCTCTCTATTTCTCTCCCTTCCTCTCTGTAAAAAAATCAATAATAAAATATATTTAAAAAAAAAAAAAAAGACACTCTCTAAGCACATATGAGACCTACTAAGCAAAATGCACAGTAACTCTGCAACTCAATAAATAGACATAAAGCTGTTCCCAAGTGTTTGACACCAATTCACAGCACCAGGCATCACTGTCCGGCCCTTCATGAGAATAAAGCCAAGCATGCTGTGTTCATACGACTACACATCATTCTTCTTGCACTTAACTGTGTATGGATTCCTGCCCGACTTGATCATTTAACCCTTTACAGTCAGGGTGTCGCCATCGAGAGGAAAAAACACTATTACTCACCACCAACCAGGATCTTTGCACCATCAGGGATATCTTTTACAGCTTCCACGGGATCTTTGTAAAACTTGGTATGGCGACACGTGCTGGTTGAAAAATAGCAAACGCCTCCCTAAAACATTAAAGAACATTTGAAGTGAATCGTCATTTGGAGTTATGTCTTCACTTTACAGGCATAGCAATTGATTCAATTTTTATATATGCAAGGACAGTTTCACTATGGCCTCTTTGAAAGAGTGGGGCTGTAAGTAGCTCATCTTAAGAGTGGAATGAAGGCCTAGCCGATTTTGCTCAGTGGATAGAGCATTGGCCTGTGGACTGAAGGATCCAGGTTCAATTCCAGTCAAGGGCACCTGCTGAAGTTGCAGGCTCCATCCCCAGTTGGGGGTGTGCAGAAGGCAGCCCATTAATGATTCTCATTATTGATGTTTTCTCTCTCTCTCTCCCTCTCTCCCTTCCTCTCCCTGAAATCAATAAAAATTAAAAATTAAAATAAATACTGGTAAATAAAAAGGAGTGGACTAGACATATTCTATCCAGATTATCATTGGAGTTCCCTCAGGATCCATGTCTTCTATTATACAAGGGACAATGCTGTGATATGTGTGGCCACACAAAAAAATAGATGGCCCAGAGAGTAGCACTCAAATTCCCAATAATGGCATCATCAAGCACTGATTTACAATAGTAACCTAACCCTCCATTCAACCCACAAATACTTGCTGAGAGCCTACTGCAGGCCAATTACTGTGGCATTGACTGCAACCTAGTCAGGATTAAGACATGATTGCCATTCTCAGGGAAGTACAGCATGACCAATACCATTTGGGTAACATTAATCCTCACCTGAGGATATTTTCACCTAAAGGAATAGGTAAAGAACAGCACACAAAATGACTCCTCCCCCTCTAGGGCTTGGAGTGCCGGATGCTGTTGAAAAGCAGCAAATGATTACCTGCAAGGGAGGCTTGGTTAGAATTACTATCACCTCGTCAGCTTTCAAAATCCATTTAAAACTGTTTCTGTCTCTAAACTTCACCCACAATAGGGACAGGAAAAGTTGGGAAGCCCATATGTTGCAAGCAATCACTCATACTCAACATCTCTTCTTAGATCTATATAAAAGCTCTCCCTCAGTCTCATCATATACTCAACCTAAAAAGAGGAAGGAGAGAAAATGACACCTGACTCCTGACATGCGGTCACCTTAACAAGTCCACTGCTAATCAGCCTCCCAGACAGACATCCTGGTGGGGGTAAGGTAACAGCATAAAACAGCATTCTCTTCATACTCTAAAAACTCCTTTTAGAAAAAGTGTCAATTGTACAAAAGCCTATTTAAGAGAACTACACTGAAAGTCAAATGAGATTTGCAGAGGTAGAGGTCACACAGATGACTTTTGTCCCTTAAAATTTCAACCATGGTCAAGGTCAGGTAGGGCATGAGGTAGAGCTGGCACATCACCCAACGTGGGGAGCAAGTGGAAGCAGAGACAGAAAGGAAGGGGCTTTCTTGCAGAAACTGGTTTGGCTCAGTGGTAGAGCGTCGGTCTGTGGACTGAAAGGTCCCAGGTTCGATACCGGTCAGGGGAATGTACATTGGTTGCGGGCACATCCCCAGTAGGGGGTGTGCAAGAGTCAGCTGGTTGGTGTTTCTCTCTTATCGACGTTTCTAGCTCTCTATCTCTCTCCCTTCCTCTCTGTAAAAAATCAATAAAAATATATTTTTTTTAAAAAAGAAAGAAAGGAAGGGACTTTCTTATCTTCCTTATCTTCAAGTAGCAGGGAATTTTTATTCTGTTTTAAACACACACATACACAAATATATATTTTAATCTTGGAAATTAAAACTTTGGAGCCTGAATAAATAGGTGAACAGAGCACAAAAGAGTTGAGGGTATCTCCTAGAAATGAGAAAAAAATACACAGATATGTAACCCAACCAACTCGGCTTGCAGGTCATGCTTCCGAAGCTTAGGAAGATCTTGCCACATGCCCAACACCTGTGAAGCAGGCCCAGGCCCCGGGTTTGTGCCTTCTCGCACAAGGTCCTTCCACCACCACAATTCTCCGTGGTCTTTCCAAGTCCCCAATCTTCTCCTACTTCTATTTCACTCTTTATGCAAAGAGACCTTTCTGGGTGTCCTGTTTTCTCACAGAAAAGTCTGCTGACAATCTCCAGTGAGGAGTCTGGCCTTAGCAGCCAGGAGAAAGGAGATGAAAGACATGTCTGCAGGGGGTGACATCGCCCTGAACTATTTATCCAGGGCAGAAACACCAGTCCTGTGGAGAGGAAGTCAGAAGAAAACTCGTTTCTTCTGAGACCCAGAGAGCACTTCAGATGCACGCAGCACAGACTGGATAGGGCCTCCGGTCCCTTCTTCCAGCGGATAATCATGTCTTCATGCCAGACAGAAATCACCGAGGAGCTGGGCCCACACCCCCATTAAGATCCCCAGAAGTACTTCATTTTAATTTTTTATCTTTTTTTTTTAATTATTTCAGAGAGGAAGGAAAAGAGAGAGAATCATTGATCAGCTGCCTCTGGGGATCAAGCCTACAACCCAGGAGAACTGTCATTCCTGGGGATCAAATCCACAACCCAGGCATGTGCCCTGACCCGACGGGGATTGAACCATGACCTCCTGGCTCATGAGTCAAAGCTCAACCTCTGTGTCCACACCGGCTGGGCCCTCGAAAGTATTTTAGAAAAGACCCAAGAGTTTCACATTTATCCTGATAACCAAGAGTTTAAAAGCAGTAAAAGTGACTCCTGTTGCCAAGGACTGTGAGGAGAGCTCAGAACAATGATGACTCTACAGGCACTCAAATTTGTGGGCTGCTTTTTTTTTTCTCCATTTTTCATACATTCATTGGACAGCATTTGTTGTCATTTATTGTCCATGTTATGCTGACATTTGATACCTGATGGTTGAGAGACCAATGGTGTGGCATAACGGGCCACACTCCCCATCTGAGTCAAGGCAGACCTGCCAGCACCTTCTAAGATTAGGCGGGAGGAGGAGGCCTCTAATAATATCTACCTATCTTTCCCCTTAGCTCTAAGCTGTTCTCAAATTGACCTCTACCTTCTAATATAATTTTAATACCAAAGCCATGATATGAAAGGACCCAAGCGCTATCTGCTAAATAGACAAAGAACCTTTGAGTGTGCATTAGTTACCTAAAAGAATGAAGAATAAGCTGTTCAGCTTTGACATCTATTTATTGTGAGATAATCCTCCCCACCCCCAAGTCCTTCTTTATGTTCCCATAATGTATGTTGTTTTGTTTTTCCACTCTCTTACCTTTGGCAAATTTCCATGCTATTACCACTATTTCTGCTGACACTATTGGGGGAGCAAAATAATAATGACTCAGTACTGAAGTGTAAGAAGTAATCAAAACTCTTACAGGGCAACATTTTTATATTTAATCCATTTCTCTTTAACATAATTTTTGTCTACAAATTTTCAAAACTCGTGTTTTTGCCCTCTACATCACATGACCTTTTTACACTTGACCTTTGAGATTTGATTCCACTGCTGAACCTAAATGTTATCACATGACTTCCCAATCCAGAATCTTTTTCCTCTCTAACCACTTCTGCCATACTTCTTGCCCCTAAACTTCTCTTTTTCCTGCCACTCAATACTTCAGTACTTAATGAAAATGCACTCCATTTGGAAGACCTTTCAGGGTAAAAACCCAAAACGCACACTGCTTTTTCATTTTACAATACACGTTATCTTTATGATATGGAACTGTACACCCAGACATTTACCTTGGCACCTTCCAGTTAAATAAGTCGGGAGGACATAGGAACATTGATACTGCCCACTTCACTATCAGAGTTTGATTAACAGAGGCAGGGAAGAGAGGCCACGTGAAGAGGTGAGAAGAGGCCTGTTAGAAGGACAGGCAGTAAGACGCAGGGATACACACGCCCACAGACCTTCAAGGATGAGGATGGTCCTTGCCAAAGGAGGAGCCGATGTGTGCTGACATGCTTTAGCTGTGCAGGGGAGGGAAAATAATTCTCCTCCTACCCTTTTAGGTTCTTTTGACTGCTCTGATCATCAAATTGACACGAGACAGGAAAAAAATGATTTATCACGTACATATGGGGATTCCACTAGAATATGGGGTCCAAGGAAAAACTGGGCAGCTGAGGCTTACAAACTACCTTAAGCTAAAGATAAGGAAGGGGAAGGGGGGAAGAGACATCAAAGGGCAAGAAGGCAATTCACGTGGAGATGGAAAAATGGAAAAGCATATATTTGGTAAGTAAATGTTTGCTGGGCCATCTTTAAACACAGAGACCCACAGAGGACACTGACCAAACAGGCCTCGCCACTTCCCGGTCTATCACACACTAGCTCACATTGTAGCTGTGTCTGATGTCTCCCTTGCTGGAGCAGGTCCTCTAAAGTCTTTCAGCCCGTTAGCGGGGAGGCCAAAGGTTTGTCCTGAGTCCCTGCTTAAAAATAGCCAGCTTCAAATAATCAATATCCCAAAAAAGGCATACATGGGGTGGCAAGCTCAAGTGTCCAACACAAAGCCAGTGTGCCCTAGACACCACCGAGTCCGCACTTACGACACGAATACATCACAAGGAAGGCGCGCACAGGGGGTCAGGAACACCAGGCAATTCTACCAGCAGGGCACCCTGGCCTTCGAGGGGACACCCGTGCTCTCCTCCAATACAAGGGCGAGGCCGGGCACTCGGAAGGAGCGGGCACTCCGAAGGAGCACAGCCAGAGTGATGCTTCCCGCCTGCTGCTCCAGGAAGAGGAAAGGAATAAAGCATCCATGGAAAGTTCCTTGCCAAAAAGAAACTTGCATCCGGGTAAGCCGATGTACTCATCTGAAGTTATGCAAGTAAACGTGTAACAATTTAACTGAAGTAGGAGGCAAGGATTTAAGCAGAACGGGCACTTCCGAAGTGCCAGGCGAAGGAAGAACACTGGGAAGCGTGTGTAGTTAGAGCATGATACTCAAACGGGACCGTGGGAGTCTGAATCTCCATAGCAACTGTCAATGACATACTGCAAAACCCCTAGTGTGTAGCTCGGCCACCTACGCAGAGGTTTCCTGGGCGTGGCATGGTTTAATGATAGACCTAAAGGTGAGAAAATGAGTAAGTTACACTTAGGTAGATAAGTAATCCCTTCAAGAGGGGAATGCGATTGACCTTGGCCCAAGGCATCTCCCTATAGAGGTTTGCATTCTTGCCCTCTACATCACATGACCTTTTTACACTTGACCTTTGAGATTTGATTCCACTGCTGAACCTAAACGTTATCACATGACTTCCCAATCCAGGATCTTTTTCCTCTCTAACCACTTCTGCCATATTTCTTGCCCCTAAGTTTCTCCTTTTTCCTGCCACTCAGTACTCCAGAACTTAATGAAAATGCACTCCATTTGGAAGAACTTTCAGGGGAAAACCCAAAAAGCGCAGCAGCACTCTGGCTGAAGGTCAGTCCCCTTTGAACAACGAGTCCCCTTTGAAGATGCCTCACACAGCGGAAACTATCCGCACTGACCAAAATGCTTCCCAAGGAGCATCCAGGGAGTAGAACGTTCCAGTTCTGTATCGTCCCTAGCATCGAGCTAAGCGCCCTCTGCAGTCACTGCTCTCGGGTATTGGAAGCGGGAAGGATAGAGGAGGCGAGGGCCGGGCCGGGACTTCTCAGTGAGCAAAGCGCGCTTTCCAGCTCAGCACCCTCACTCCACATGCTACAAAGTAAAAACCTCTCTTCTCCCTAGGCCTTCCCAGGAAGCGGTTCCCATGGTTACCAGATAGCGAAGGGAAGCCGCCCCGGGGACCCAGCGCTCAGCCCGGTTCCCGCCTCTCCGCACTCCAGGCGGGAGTCACCCCACCCGGCGGGGGCTTCCCCGCGGGGACGGAGCTCGGGGCCCCAACACACCGGAGGCAACAACGGGGACACCCGAGGCGGAACGAGGATGCCGAAGGGCTTTGAAGGCGGAAATCTCCCCCCCCCCCTCCCGCACCCTTGGGGGCTCAGGGGCCGGGCTGGCGGAGGAGCGCGGGGCCACGGCGGCGCCTTCCCCGCTCGCAGGGGGGACGCTCCACGCGGCTCCGCTTCCCCGGCGCGGGCGGCGCGGCCGGGCCTGGGAGGCGCCGGGCGGGCTCGGGGGGCTCCCCGCCGCGCCCAGCACCCGCCCCCTTGGCGGGGAGTCGCCCGAGCGAGCCGCGGCCAAATGGGCCTTGGGCCCCGGGCCCCCAGATCCCCTTGCAGGGCGCACCCCTCCCGCCGCCGCGGCCGAACCCCAGTCGGCGGATGCCGGGGCAGAGGTGCGCGCCGGCTCGCCCCTTCCCGCCTCCCGCGCCTCGGGGGGCGCCCGCGGGACCGATCGCCGCGGGGCCGGGAGAGCAGCGCGGGGGAGGCGCCGGCGCATCTCGGGGCCCGGGGACGGCGCCCGGTGCCAGCCCGGGCTGGGCAGGCGGGTGCCCGCGGGGAGCAGCTCTACCTTGGACCCGGGGCCCCAGGAGCGGCGCGCCGGGGCGCAGAGGCGCGGGCAGGCGCGGAGGAGGCGGAGGGGGGCCATGCTGAGCGGCGAGGCGGCGGCGGCGCGGCCCGGGGCTGGGGCTGGGGCTGGGCTGGAGCCGGAGCCGGAGCTGGAGCCGGAGCCGGGGCGGCGGGCGGGAGGAAGGGCGGGAGCGGCGGGGGGCGGGCTGGAGGCTCGGCCGCGCGTCAGGGACGTCCGGGTCCTCCCGCGGCGGCCTCCCCCCCGGGCGGCGGGAGGGGCCCGGCGCGCTCTTTTCCGGGTGAGCAGCTCGTTGGCGGGCGCTCCGCCACCCCAGCCCCCGGCGCACCGTGTAGCCTGGAGGGGGGCACGGTGTCTGCTTTCCCAAGGTCAGGGTTAAGGGCGGCGCAGGACTGTCACTTGCTGCTTTTCCAAGTCAGTGCCTGGCTCATCCCCCCCTGCTTGCCCTCCTCCCCCTGCCCCCCTGCTTGCCCTCCCCTGTCCGTGCAGCGCCCTCCAGTCCTCCGTTTCTCAGTCCTTCTCCCCGCACCGGCCCTGGTCTGTGCAGCCAGTGTGCTCCGAGGACCTGGCCAGAGCCTTCTGCCATGCGGTGCGACCAGGCGGGCCTGGCGAGGGGGACAAGAGTAGGACTGGGCCTTTGGCACATCTCCACACCCTGCCCCATCATCCATGTCTGTATTTTTTTTTTTTTCCAGAATCTTCCAACCTGGAGTCCCAGAAAGCCCAGGGATTACTCAGCAGATGCAAACCTACAGGTGTGGATTCCTTTGATCTCAGTGCCATAACTTTTCTAAGTCGAATTAGGATTGCTTATTATTCTCAGAACTTCTCAGACCTGGCATTAAGGTTTAAGGAAAGTAATTCATGCAAAGCTTCCGGCCCCGTTATAAACACTCAGTGAGCAAATGCGAGGCGTCTTGCTAAGTGTCCTCAGGGGCGGTGGTGACCGGGCCTGGCACTGGCTTCTCTCCAGGCTTCCCCTTTCCGCCGGCGCCTTGAGGACGGGAGCCCGGTCTGGTTTCTGCAGGGCCCTCTGTGTGTGCACTCAGAGTGGGAGGACAGAGCGGAAACGCAGAGAATGTTCTATTTAAGGGGACCAAGTCCTGGGAATGTGGCTGTCCGTTTTGAACCAAAGCAAAGCAAATAAGATCATTCAATGCGACCTTAGCGTCCTTAGCAGGTAAACTGAGGCAGTGACCAAGCACAGTCCAGCTTAAAGTGTCCATCAAAGCACTTCCCTTTCCCAGTATTCTTTTAACTTGGATCTCTCCCTCCCTCCCCCCTCCTACACCCACCCCCCATATAATTTAAGGGAGCAGAATGCCAAGGTAGACTAATTACATAAGAAGAAATTAACCTAGTAATGTCCTATATTTTCAACAGAAGTTGGCTTGAAGGGAAATCCGGGTATTCGAACTAAAGTCCCCTTGCGAGGCCTCCCACAGCATGTAAGGGATGTGGCGCAGCACAGAGTGGGACCAAGCTGATGATCCCAACTGGGTTCGCTCTCCACTCGCCCTTCCCAAGAGAGAGCATGTGACATGGAAACTATCCTTGGCAGCCAGGTCCTGGTCAGATGACTGGCTCTTGGCTGCTCTGACTGTGCTCCTCCAGAGGGAAAGACCCAGGTTTGCAGCCTGTACTCCCTCGGTGTGTCTGAGCCTCCTGGAAAAATCAGGCTCTTCGTCCTATGCCCAAAACACGCTGTGCTGTTCTTGGATGACTTTATGAGTTCTTTTTGTATTTTTTTTTTTTTAAGTAGAATGTGAGTATCTTCACCTTGAACAAATGGCAGCAAAGATCTCTGTACAGATTCTGTCCCTCCTGGCTTCTCAAAGCAATTTCCATTGTAATCTGTGTACACATCTATTTTTAAAAATTGTCTGAATATTTCTGAACTAGCAAGAATAGTTCCTCCTTGCTTGGAAGGGTAATCTGTGGCAAGTAGAGCATATTCTGGAAACTTTTCTTTATGTAATCATGTAGAGCTTAACTTCCACATTTTTAAAATGTGGGATGATTGAATTGAATTCAAAGCTTTTAAGCAAAAGGTCTGATTCCAGACAGACAAAGAGGAAGGTTTTTTTTATTATTATTATTTTATATATAACATGTATTATGGCATATCTAATATATTTACATGTACAAAAATTTATATGTTTGTAAATATATACATATATTTATATCAAATGAATACAGGCAATGTGCCAGAGTTAGTACAATTGTAAATTGTCATTCTCTACTTGAGGGCTTTTTTACTTAAATTCTCCTAAAATATGATGAATTAGCATCATCTCTCATTATTGAAAAATAGGACATTAAAAAAAAAAAGAAGAAAGAAAAAAGGACATCCTGCCTTCTCATTTGGTGGAGTGTTCCTCCAGGTTGATTTAGAGGATATATGAAGGCTTATTTCTCAAATGTGGTTTGACTGGTTTAACTAGTAATAGGAGTTTTTAACTGGATCATAAAAAGAAGTATGAATGCTCCCTTTCATACCATGGTCCTTTAATATATGGAAAAGAAATTTCTTTGGACAAATAATGTTTCTCTAGTGGATTTGAAAGACATAAATTTGAAATTTTACATGTATCTAAATGTAAGCATTTGTTTAATAATGCAAATCATCATCCCCTAATATACCTATTTTGTAAGCTTGTTATTTTCATAAGTCCTTTGAAGCACTGCCTTGTATGGAAAAAATATTTGTTCAGTGGATTAAAAAGTGAATTGTTTGTGTATTTTCCTTAGAGAAAAAAAAAAAAGTAAAATAAGGGCATGAGATTGTTGGAGAAGGCTCCACTCCAGGAATGAAAATGAACATTGTGTTAAAGAATGAAAGTAAACATTGCTCCAAGGAAACTTAAAGGAGCAAAAACAACCTCGTGATATTGTAGGCATTGAAGGATGCTCAGTCATGTTCCTTCTACTTGACACTTCTCAGTGGTTTCCCCACTGCCTTGGAGATCTAACTCCCATGCTTCTCTGCTGGCCTAGAAAGGGACCCTCTCTTCCGGTTTCCCTCCTCTCTGCACACCACCTTTATATTCCAAATTATATTTGCCTCTTGTCTTTCACAGGATGAATTTACCCAACATCAAGATCAAACACTGACAGCAAAATGGTCAAGAACATGGGCTCCAGAGTGAGGCCGCTGGGTTCGGGTCTTAGCTCTGCCATCCCCTGCCCTGTGACCTCCTGCGATGCTGCGTTCAGGAGAGCTGTGATTGGCCAGTGGTGAGGTCATGTCTGATTCATTATTAATTTGGGCTAGTCCGGTGTTCAAAGAGTATTCCTTGTATGTGCATTTATTTTGCTTTTTAGATTCCACATACATAAATATGAAATCATATGGTATTTGTCTTTCTCTGACTGTTTCACTTAGCATAATATCCTATAGGTCCATGCATGTTGTTGTAAATGATAAGATTTCATTTTTTATATTTTTTTTTTATGGCTCAGCAATATTCCATGGTATATATGTATCACATCTCCTTTATCCAAGCCAAACAGAAACAGGCTTATAGATATGGAGACCAAACTGATAGTTGTCTGATTGAGGGGCAGTGGAGGGGTGGGGGGGGATGCTGGTGAAAAAAAGTAAAGAGATTAATAAATATAAATTGGCAGTTACAAAATAGTCGTGGGATGTAAAGAACAGCAGTACAACATAGGGAACAGAGTCGGTAATATTGTAATATGAGCAGTCCCAGGTGGATACTAGACTTATCCGGGAGATCACTTTGTAGGTTATATTAATCTCCAACCACTAAGCTGTATGCCTGAAGCTAGTGTAATATTGAATGTCAACTGCAATTGAAAATATTTTTAAAGATTTTACCTTGTGAACACATATACAGTGTGTCCCAGAATACATACCTTTTTCTGAGAGCTCAATTGATGTTTCTTTCTTTTCAGATTTAACTCATTGGAATTAATAATTATTCAAAGTGTGTAAACATTTTTTGGGACACCTATATTTCTGAGATGCTTTCTATATTTTTATAAACTGGAAAAGATCAGGATTCAAAGCCTGTTCTGTATGGTTTTAAAGACTGCTTTTACCTTTCTGCCTTCCTCTTTATGAGTGTCTGGCCAGCTCCCCAGTTTCTCTCATTCTGCCCTAATCTTATTTCTCTAGTTGGGATTATTGCAGTTGCTTCCTAAGTGAACTGTCTTTCTCCCCTAAGTTAACCACTTTTAAAATTATCATTTCCACAAATATAGATCTGGTCTTCTTTTTATCTTTTTTTATTTGTTGATTGATTAATTTTAGAGGGACAGAGAAAGAAACATCTGTTTGTTGTTGCCATAACCAGATTGGCTCGGTGGATAAAGTATTGGCCTGCTGACTGAAGGGTCCCAAGTTCGATTTCAGTCAAGGGCTTGTACCTTGGTTGCAGGCACATCCCCAGTGGCAGGTGTGCAGGAGGCAGCTGATCAATGATTCTCTCTCATTGATGTTTCTAGATCTCTATCCCTCTCCCTTCTTCCCTGTAAAAAAAATCAATAAAATATATTTTTTTTAAAAAGAAAAAAATCTACTTGTTGTTCCACTTGAACATTAATTGGTTGAATCTTATATGTGCCCTGACCAGGAATCAAACCCACAACCTTGTCCCATCGGAAAGACACTCCAACCAACTGAACTACCCGGCCAGGTCCAAATCTCTTCTCAGATGCTTTCCTAAAATTTTTTGAGAAATCTCATAGGCTACAAGTCAAAATCCAGCATCTGATTATAGACAAGAGCTTTCTAACCCAGGCTCAGCAAACCATCTAACCGTGAGGGCCTTCCAATGTACTTTAGGGTTCCACAAATATTATGTTTTGAAATTATGTTTCAACTATTCTATCAACTCTAACAAAGCAGTAGCATGTATACTCAATTGTGGTGTAGCTCTGATTTTAACATATTAAAGATTACCAGATGATGCAGGTGGGAAACAGACCTCAGAATAATTTATGGCAAAGATGGGCTTTTTAAGCAGTAGAAAAAGATGAATTACTCCCTAAATTGGGGTTATGACAATTTGCTATAAAATTTGAAAAAAATAATA